TTGTAAAGCTAACCTGTGACATGATATCAAGCAATCGATTCTTCTCTCGCGATTGTGGGGCTGTTTTTTGACGTGTAAATTAATTCTTCAGAAATTTAAATGCAATGCTAAGCGTCATCTTCTGTCTGCTTGAATCTTGTTCATTTATTGTCCCCCTTAGTAACTTTGATAGGTTCGATAAAATCCAAAGAAGAATCAGCAACATTACGGCCCTCCATCTGGCATCTAGGCTTCAGTCACTTTCCTTTGCCTCTTCTATAAATATTTCCACGGTAAATTTTCGGATAATCTTTCCTTTTTGGTACCTCGAGTTCACGAATGCAAGCTTAGTAGTAGATTGGTAGATAGGTATCATAATTTACCTGTTGAAATTGCTACTTTTAATCATAAGTTCTATAAGAATAATTTCTTCCCTCGCATCTGTGGGGCTCTCTTCTGACGTCCCGATTTACCGTGTAAACTACGTCTTCAAGAATTTAAATTCAATGCTAATCGTCATCTTTTGTCTACTTGAATCTTGTTCTTTTATTGTCCTCGTTATTGTTTCTTTCATTCTCAGTAACGCTTGCGTCGTCATAGCTTTTATTGACTTGCTTGGAGGGAAATGATTAAAATAAAGTGGCATTTAATGGGGATTACACAGAAAGCAGCAAAATACAAGTTCAACTTAAAGCATCTACAGTCGAAGAAGTTGAAGCTAAATGAAAAGTATCCGTTTGAAGCTTATGTGTCTGGTCGTTTCAGTCAGTAACGTCCTGACTTTTGATACAGAATCTTTCAGAATTAAAGCCAGATTTAACAAGACATTTCATCATCATCATCATCATTATCCTCCTCCTCCACATCATCATCATCATCATCATCAGACCCATGATGCGTGTGATTGTAGTGCTGCTAGTTAATTGAGCATCCGGCTAGTTCTTTCCACATCTCTGGTTTGAAAGCCATGGAGGTATTCATTGATGCATAGTTTGTCTTGGGCAAGTAAACACACGGGGCCTATGCCTATCCCGGTCAAACTGCTTCCGCCATTCCCCAACTTGAAGCCTCGCCTTGGTCACCGACACGGCCGTTGACTTCAGTTTTAGTATCCTTCCACATAGCGATGGATTTTCATCATCGCACTGTATACATAGTTATGGAGCCCTGTTTACATCACTCTGTTTAATGCTTGTTGACCCGACCAGAAAACTCTTTCGCAAATAAACAGTTTTTGTTGTTAAACAGTATAATCGCCCTCTTAACCAAAAGATCCTGGTGTAGGAACTGGTTTAGTCGTGATAACGCGATAATATTACAGGTATTACTGGCTTACATGGTATTAGCAGCATTTGTAGGTTTACCTGACATAAAATGCAAATATATCCCCTGCTTTCCTTTTCAGTCCGTAGAACAGCATCTATATAAGCATTATTCTACAGAAGGTGTTACTTATATCATAAGCGTATATTTACATTTTTAATGTAACGTTCTAAAAATATATATATGTTAAGGGGTCTACCCCTTTTTCATACAACTACACACTGCTGCCGGTGAATACCCGGGATTTGGAGTGACAGATACAGAGAGAGTGAGTAAGAGAGATACACCGATAGGGAGATACACTGTAAGAGTGATACACTGATACAATGAGAGAGTGAGGTAACCGCATTGTAGGAGTCACAGTTGCGAGTACGTAGACTCAGAAGAAAGTCCCACTTCGATACTGAATTTCCCAGACTGTATATATATTATTATTGCTACTAACCGCATTTCTGGATCTACTAACCGTATTACCAATTGTATTATTGCGTCAATACATTTATTTGCTATATTTCATTCCTGCGTTTGTCATTCA